CCCCTGCTTGTGTTCCCTCTCTCGCTGTCTCTCTCTGTCAAATAAATAAATAAAATCTTTAAAAAAATTTATTTTTTTAAAGTTATTTTAGAGAAAGAGAGAGCAAGTGAGTGGAAGAGGGGCAGAGGGAGAAAATCCCCAAGCAGACTTCCTGCTGGGCACAGAGCCCCATATGGGGCTTGATCTCATAACCCAGGAGATCATGACATGAGCCAAAACCAAGAGTCGGATGCTTAACTGACTGAGCCACCCAGGCGCCCCTGAGGTGATGGATTTTAAATAAACTTATTATTGTAATCATTCTGTAATATATACATATATCAAATCATTATGTAGTGCACCTAAAGTGGATACAATCTTATGTGTCAGTTATAGCTCAATTAAAATTAATTAAATAAAATGCAGTTTCTGGGTTGTACCAAAAAAATTATAAAAAAGAACCAAATGGAAATTCTGGAGTTGAAAAGCACAGTAATCAAAACTTTAAACATTCACTAGAGGAACTAAATAATAGATTTTAACTGACAGAAGGAAGAATTAGCCAACTTGAGGATAGATCTATAGAGATTATACAAGCCAAAAACAGAGTGGAAAAAAAGAATGAAGAAAAATGAATGGAGCCTCAGAAAGGGTGATACTAACCCAAAGCAACAGAATACAGATTCTTCTCAAGTACACATGGAACATTTTCCAGGATAGCTCATATGTTAGGCCACAAAATGAGTCTTAATTAATTAATTGAAGAGAATTTAAATCATATCATGCATCTTTTCCAGCCACAATGTTAGGAACCTAGACATTAATTACACAAAGAAAACTGGAAAGTTCAAAAATATGTGGAGATTAAGCAATATGCTACTGAATAACTAATGTGTCAAGAAATCAAAAGAGAAATCAAAAAATATCTTGAGACAGATGAAAATGGATATATAGCAAAATTTGTGGGATGCAGCAAAAGCAGTTCTAAAAGGGAAGGTCATAGAGATAAATACCTACCTCAGGAAACAAAAAGAGTCTCAAACAACTTAATTTTATGCTTCAAATGACTAGAAAAAGAACAAATGAAGCCCAGAGTTAGTAGGAGGAAAGAAAGAAAAGATTAGAGTAGAAACAAATGAAATAGGGACTGAAAAGATAATAAGGAAGATCAATGAAACTAAAAGCTGGTTTTTGAAAAGATAAACAAAATTGACAAATCTTTAACTATATTCACCAAGGAAAAAAGAGAGGGGATTCAAATAAACAAAATTAGGTTCAAATAAATAAAATCAGAAACAAAAGAGATGTTACAACTGATACCACAGAAATAACAAAGGATCATAAGAGAATATTATGAACAAATATATGCCAACAAATTGGACAACCTAGAAGAAATGTACAAATCATTAGAAATGAACAACCTATCAAGACTGAATTTGATGAAACAGAAAATCTGAACTGTCCAATTACTATTAAAGAGATTGAGTCAGTAATCAAAAACCTCCCAACAAACAAAATTCTAGAAGCAGTTTCAGTGGTGAATTATACCAAACATTCAAAGAAGAATTAATATCAATTCTTCTCAAACTTTTCCAATAAAGGAAGAGGGGGAAGCTCTTCCAAATTCATTTTATGAGGCCAGCATTACCCGATACAAAAACCATACAAGGACACCACAAGGAAAGAAAATTATACACCAATATCTATGATGAACATAGATAGAAAATCCTAAACAAAATATTGGTAAACCAAATTCAACAATATATTAAAAGGATTATAGATCATGATCAAATAGGATTTATTCCAGGGATTGCAAGGATGGTTTAGTACTCACAAATCAATCAATGTGATACACCACATTAACAAAATGAAGGATAAAAATCATATGATCATCTCAATAGATGCAGAAAAAGCATTTGACAAAATTCAACATCCATTTATGATAAAAACTCTACAAAGCAGGTATAGAGAGAATGTACCTCAACATAATTAGGCCATATATGTACTCAATGGTGAAAAGATGAAACCTTTTCCTCTACGATCAAGATAAAGACAAGGATGCCCACTCTTGCCCCTTTTATTCAACATAGTATTGGAGGTCCTAGATAGAGTAATAAATCAAGAAAAAGAGATGAAAGGTATCCAAGTTGGAAAGGAAGAAGTGAAACTGTCACTATTTGTAGATGACATGATATTATATATAGAAAGTCCTAAAGAGGCCACCAAAAAACTATCAGAATAATAAATAAATTCAGTAAATTTGCTGGATACAAAATTAATATACAGAAATCTGTTGCATTTCTATACATTAATATCCAGTGCTCAGAAAGAGAAATTAAAAAAACGATCCCATTTACAATTGCATCTAAATAAATAAAATACCTAGAAATAAATTTAACAAAGGAGGTAAAAGATCTGTATATTGAACATTACAAGATATTAATGAAAGAAATTGAAGATACAAATACATAAAAAGATATTCCATGCTTATTGATTGGAACAGTCAATATTGTTAAAATGTCCACACTAGCCAAAGCAATGTACAGAGTCAGACAAACCCTATCAAAACTTCAATGGCATTTTTCACAGAATAGAATAATCTTAAAATTTGTATGGACCAGCAAAAGACCCTGAGCTAATAGCTAAAGCAATCTTAGAAAAGAATAAAGCTGGAGACATCACCCTCTCTGATTTCAAATTGTATTACAGAGCTGTAGTAATTAAAACAGTATGGTATTTGTACATAAACACATACATCAAAAATAGAAACAAAGATCAATGGAACTGAATAGAGAGCCCAGAAATAAACCTTCACATATATGGTCAGTTAATTTACAATTAAAGAGCAGCATACACACTGGGGAAAAACAGTATCTTCAATAAGTAGAGTTAGGAAAACTGGACAGCCACATGCAAAAGAATAAAGCTGAACCACTATCTCACACCATACACAAAAATTAACTCAAAATGGATTAAAAACTTGAATGTAAGAGCTGTATTTCTGTATGTTAAATTTCATAATTGAAGAGATTAAGAATTAGGCAAAAACAGCAATATGTGAAAATTGGGAAATGTTTACTAATAAAATGTTGAATGAATAATAGTGGGTTTTTTAAAGCTTATACATAAAAAATTAAACATACAAAAATATTAACAATCTGGATGAATTATCTTTCTACCTTTCTGAATTTCCCTGAAATTAATATGTATTACTTGCATATAGGTAAAAACATGAATAAGACGTTTTTAAAAAGTATGCCTAGTTAAGAAATTTTTTAAGCATAAAATCTTTCATTCAATTTTTCATGTTTATTCCATCCTAGAAATATTGTATTTCCTTTTTCCTACTACTTTTATTTCTATTTTCTAGGACCCTATTTTTCAGAAACCCCATTTTTTTTAACATTTCATTTTAAATAACCATTTTCCACAGGTAATTAATGCACTTGGAGTTGATGTTACTCCCCGACCTCTTTACCATCAAGACACACATATGGGTGCAGCAAAGCCAAATAAATTATTGACATCACAAGAAGGATCATATGCATCAGAATATATATCTTCCTATAGCCTGTATCAGAATACAATAAATCGTAGTATGTTAGGGCAGTTTACAAGGTAGAGTATACTATTCTATTGTTCTTTTTTATATCATATGTACTTTCTTTTCGTTTAAGTTGCATATATATAACTTAGATGTCAGTTGTCTTCAGACTCCCAACTCCACTCTACATTAGTGTACTAGCCATCTCTATGTTCCCCTCATGTTTTACTTAGATGTAGAGCTTTACATGACTTAAGAGTTCCCTGACACACCAAAACATTTCTGAGAAAAATATGTAGATTTTACTCAAGATTTCCTGAGGAACCAAAAGGTGAGGCTAGTATCACATACCCACAGACACATTTCTTCAGTTTCTTTTATGTTGCAGTTTATGGGAAGAAGTAGCTTTCCTTCTCTGTGACTACCCCACCCCGACTCCATTCTTCCATGAAAATCCCTGTTCTCCTAGGGTTTTGATTTCTCTTCTGTTTCATAATTTTTTTGTAAATGACATGTTATGCATGTATTATGTAGACACTTACATTACTGAAATTTTATTAATGCTTACAGTGGAGAATTCAGAGTCTTTGCAATAATAAAACAGGATGTCCTAAAATAATCTAAAGATTATGGGGAAATATTTGAGTGTGTAATTTTTAATCTGACAAATTAAAATTTCCAGATGTTAACTAAGCACAGAATTTTAAGAGAAAATATGCTGTTCGAGAGTCTGCCTCCAAATTTGCATAGAATAGTCATAGGAGTGCTCTATAAAACAAAGAATATTCCACTAAACCGAATCTATCCTTTTGGAGGACAGTTGGACTTATAAATAGAAAAGGCAAAAAGGTATATAATATCATAAAGTAATATTAAGTTCATATGTTTAAAGAAATTATTTTTGTATTCTTCAATTTATTGATTTCCCAACCAGTATATAGATTTTCTTTTAATTAAATCTTGAGAGGACCTTTATAAAATTGAATAAATCACATTTAAGATGGGATTTGAATGACGAGCAGAAAACGGGTGAAAAATGAAAGGAAGTTCCAGGCCGAAGCTTAGAGAGAACTGCAAGGTTGAGGAAAAATGGGGAAGGGGAAGAGTGATAATGAAGATGGAGAGACTGGATAGGTAGACTGTGTTTTAGCTTTTTATGCTAAATATATTGTGAATCCATCGAAGGACTTTAGACATAGGTTTGACATGTTTTATCTCTAAGATATATTTATAATGACTTTTTACTTAAGGAACACTACAAAACAACTCTGTTTAAAGAAGTTTCTTTTTATCAATTTTTTACATGATTATAATATATTTGATTTCTCAATATGATAATGTTTTTATTTATATATTTCATTACTCATAAGAACATCTAAATAAATGAATAATGTTGTTTTTCATTATTAAAGGTCAGTTTTAGGAAGCAGTACAGTTTCTAAATCAAGTGTATCTACTACTGAATCAATAGCAGAAGACCTAGAAGAACCATCCTATAAACGGGAAAAACTGAGTAGTTTTACAGGTAATGAAAATAATATAATTTATTTCAGTAACAGCCCATTATTTCCTCAGCAACTGAGCTTATTATTTGTCAGGTACTTGAGATAAAAGAACTATGGTAATGATTCTCAAATGCTGGCCTGAGGAGTAGCTACTGAGAACTACCAGGGTAGCATTAAAATTCCCAAGGTGACTCTCTTGCACCACCAGCCTCAGGAGAGACAGACCCTGTTTTAGAAGTCCTCTGCTTTTAACGCAGGAGGCAAGTCCTTCTGATACATTGTGATCAGTTCCCTAATAAGACATATGTAGAATGTTATCGGAGCACTTTGAAAGTGAAGATTAACATCTTTGAGGTGGAAAAAAAAAAAAAGAATTCATAGAGAACATTATAGACTTTTGAATTGGGTTTTTAAGATGATTAGTAATTTGTCAGGAGAACAAATAAGAGTGGCTCCTTCCAGGCAGAGCATAAAACATGAGGTAAAGGATTATGAAAATAAAGATAAAAGAATGATAAAATAATGGATGATCAAAAGTGCTGGAAGAAATGGGTACCTACCTGAGGAACATTCACCTTGAAGTGCAGTAAGGGTGCCTCTTCCTCTGAGATGATAATGAAGGATTGATGAAAGTATTCATAAGTTTGGAAAAGTGCTTGATAGCGTCTTTGGTGTTAAGATATGTAACAGGAATGCTCTGACCACAAGAGAATACCCAACTACCATTAGCTTAAACAATCAACTATTTTGGATTTGATTTTGTGGCTTGACTGTCAGACTCTGGATTGGCAGCTCCGCTATTCTCTTTCCTTAAAACTTTTCTTCTTACTTCTTGCTTCTTGCTTTTTGCTCCATGGTCTCAAAATATCTGCCCCAGCTGTGGGTATTATATCCATGTTAAAGGCAGAAAGAGAGAGAAAGGCAGTAGCTTCAGTCATATCACCCTTATTTATCAGGAAAGTAAAAGTTTCCCCAGGAGCCTTCTTCTTTCCTATGTATTTCTGCTGTTATCTCATTGGCCAGAACTCTGTCACATGGTCAACTCTAGCTTCAGGAGAGGCTAAGAAAGCTAAACACTTGATTTTCTTAATGGAAAGAGCAAGGGAAGGGAAAAAGCCTTAGCAATGAAAACTTAGGCAATCAGCAGTGTCTGGGGCAGCAGGGAGGATCATCCTATCAGAGGGAGACGGGAGGATTGGATTACTATCATAATCTCC